ATTTTGTACTCTATTCTACACTTTTCTAAGGTATTAAAATGTTTCACTGTTACTTGACAGTATCTCATCTATAGTCATTTTAAGGTTATAATGTTTGCCGAATGGATTAAATGATTATTATTTTCTTTTATTTTTATTATAATTTCATTATTCATATATCTTCAATTTCTTATTTTTATATATAATATATTTTACATGATTTGTTATATAACCTATTACATTCTCCCTTTTTTCAACCTATTACCAAAAGTATTAACTTAGTAATCTACGTAATAACAGAAATCTACCAATGCAAGATTCCAAATTTCTAAGCCCGGTAGCTTGTAACCTGATTTTTCGGTTACCCTTATTGTTTGTGTTCGCGATATCTTCTAAACTATTAGTCCAATTTAAATACTGTCAAGGACAATTTTACTCTACATTAAATTCTCCTGATAACAAACGCATTTATTTGGATAAGGATTAATATTGAAACCAATAAAAGAACGCTGCAAACAGTGTGGGATTTTTAATTCATTTTGAAAACAGAAAAGTGGTTATTGTGAGAAAACCGTTAAAGATAGATATATGCCATCGCGGACTTTTCTGTAGAACTTTTTGAGATCTACAATTCTGTCATACATCATTTTTATATACCTCTAACGGTTTAGGCAGCGTAAGCCGAGAAAAGTTAAAGTTTAGTGAATTTTTAACGCCGCAGTCCAGAATAACGCTGTTTATTAATAGTTCCTAAACATTAGTAATAATAAAATATAGCCAATGTTACTCACAGATAAATTACCTTTCTGATGGTGAAAGAATTTTTAAAATCGGCCCAATAGTTTTTGAGTTATTTTAATACATACAAAAATACAAAGTTTTCCTCTTTATAATATTAGGATAGATATGTATATATAATATACAGGGTTATTGGTAATTAGACGTATTCCCGTTAGGAGGTAATAGAGGGGATCATTTGTGATAATTTTAACCCCTATATGCATTATTCAAAAGTTAACCATTTTCGAGTAATCTTGCTTTTTCGATTTTTTCAAAATTTATTAGTTGAAATTGTTATTATTTTTTTCACATGTATCTTTATTTCTTATTCTCTATATAATGCATTTTACAAGATTTGTATGAAAATAAAATAAAACGTATTATATAAAAAAAAGAGCACCACCGGCTGCGGAATCCGATGACTCAAGCAACCAGTGGTCAGGGCTGCAGAGACAGGAACCTCCTCACTATGCGTGCG